AACCGGCCATCCCTATATGGGATCCGAACCCGGGGCCTTGGTGTTATCCGCACCGCACTCTCCCGAGTGAGCCACGGGCCGGCCCAGTATGAAACAATTATTGATGAGATGTTTTACATTTTCGTTCCGTACTACGTCTTCACAGTCCGGTGTGTATTTTTTCTTTCCAGCATATCTCAATTCCGAATAGCCACATTTCAACTGCTGTTTAGCTATAAGTGGCTATTAGCTATCACATTGGACAGGGTAGGACTAGTTTGTTTCAGAAGTAATTGCTGCATTACCAAAAGTCTTAGTATAGCAATTGAAATACTTGTGAGATATGCTCACAACCATTACAGTTTGCACCTTTCATTGAATGTTAAAGTATGGTGGACTTCAGAATGTAAACTTTTTTTACTTCTGTAGAACTCTATTTTGCTTTTACTTGTTTTATGTGTGTGGATGTGGCTACAAGTTTTTATTAATGAAAACTTTGTATTAAATAGTACACTACAGGACCTTTATAAAAAATTAAAAGCCTGAATTAAAAAATTTGGTATAGTACAATGCACTTCTAACTAGTTTTCTCAAATAGCTAATATGAGACTTCACTCACCAACTTCCACAAGGAAGTGTTTTCGAAAGAGGCACTAAAATATGCCGTCTTATCCTTAAGGATGTTTTGGGAGAAGCTCCACTACACAAGGCAGCAAAAGTTGGAAGCCTGGAATGCCTTAGCCTGCTTGTAGCCAGTGATGCCCAAATTGAGTGAGTAATAAAATCAGCAGCTTCAAATTCGTATTATCTTGGATTAAACTAATCAGACTCCTGAAGCTTATTTACATGTGCTTTTAAAAATAATGCTTTTCTGATTGATAATTTAGTGTTATCATTTAAATGTTAACTTAGGTTATTAGTAATATCTAATAATAGTCAAATTTGAGTAAGTAAAAAATGGATCCTGAGCATTCAGAGGTGCTATTCTGTTCAGTATGAAACTATTCCACTTCAGTTTTGGTTTAAGAAAACCCATTCTGTAGAAGTTCTCATTGACTACCTTTGGGTATTCATTCAGTGTACTGAACACCAGATACTGTTGCATTTATTCCAAAACGGAATGCCTACTCTATGCTGGACTCCACTAGCCACTGAAGATATGACAGTGAGCAAAACAAAATTTTCCTGTTCATCCTTTACCTCTTCTATTCTGCAACCAGCATTTATATGAACCCCAAATTTCTTTGTTAAAAAAAAACCGAAAAAACTAAACAATTATCAATTTTTATTTAACTCAATTTTTGTCATAATTTCAGCTTATGTAATAAGAATGGGCAAACAGCTGAAGATCTTGCTTGGTCATGTGGATTTCCGGAATGTGCCAAGTTTCTTACAACAATTAAATGGATGCAGACAGTAAAATCAAGGGAACTGTCTGATAGGGATCATTGTGTTCCAGTGCTCAGACAGAAACGAAGTTTTGGAAGTGTAGAAAACACAAATGGGAAAAGGAAGCGTTGGTAAGTAACTCATAGCTTTTTCTTCTTTCCTCATGGATCTTTTGTTTAGCGTAGAACTTATTGTTCTATTTAAATATTGATACTCTTATTTCTATCATTTCTATCATATCTTATACTATCATTTCATCCTCATTAACATTTTATACTGCCTATAGTTAGTACTACTAGATTCCAGAGACCAAAAATTTTCATGCAGGGTAGAAGTTTGGGGAGAAAACCTTTTTAAAAAAGTTTTTAATGTTAACATGTTTTTTAAAAACAGATGTCACGTTGGTTATGAAGAGGTGTGAAGAAGGCCTTCATTTCATGCAGATCTACAAGCTCTGGCTTTTGGCTTACCGTATGTGTCTAAACTCCTTCTAAGAAGGAGGAAAACTTTCTTCCACATGAAGATAACACTTAAGAATACATGTATTTACATGCCTATAATATTTTGGTTGTGCATGCATGCTTTCTCTTTTAAGTTATTAAAGGATTGTTTAAAGAGTAAATCCTCTGTGCAGTATTTACAACCTTTGAAAAAAAATCAATAGTTTAAACCATCAAACTATACCCAGGATTTAATTTGGAGTTAAACTTATTCTTTATTAACATTTATAATACCACTTTACTACAGTCTTTGAGTCCAAGACATTTTAAATAATATTTGGTCGCTGAGGAAGACATAAGTTATAGTAAGCATCCTTGTTCCAAAAGTCTGGGCCCTTCCATCCACACCAGCCCTGGATTTGGGAGAAGGGAAAGAAAAACCTTTTATAACCTTATAAGACTACATGTCAACATTGTTAATGTGAGGCTCTGTCAGCAGTACCTTGGAATAACACTCTTACTACCAGTCTAATTCAAGGATTTTAATTCCTATTAAGCATAGAAAAGTAACGTATTTGGGTCCATTTAAGGCAGATTTTAAAACTTGATTCTGTAGTATTTAATCATAGAAATCATCAAAAAAGAAAAACTTCATTATAGTAACTGAC